ATCGGCTATAAATCACACCGGATCGCTCCGAATACATGTGACTTCGTGCTGTGCAGATCAAATTTAAAGGTAGACATGCAATTTACGTTTGACTAACGGTCAGTGTTATACTGGGATAACATTCACCGGGCCTGCAATTTAACGCAGTGCCACATCTATCACGGAAGGGTTGGCGTGCTAGAGGCATATAACCGATGTCGACCCAAACATGATATTATCGGTTAACTCGATTCTGATTTCATATGTTTCATCAACTTCACAAAAGACAATAACCCCCGTGCAGTCAACATCTGTCTGGGCGCAGTGATTGTTAAATCCAGGATTGTTTGTGTGTGGCGTGAGTGTTGTAGAACCAGCTTCTAAGAAAAATACGCGGACGTTTAAAGCTCGCACTCCTTGCAGCGTCCCCAAGAAGCTAGCTTGTGCTATTTAAAGTGGAACTCTTACAGGCGGCTTTGCTGCCCTACTGAAGATTATAGTTCTGCATTCAGTAAAAGATATTAATTCGTTTTCGGACATTCCGAGTGCTACCTTCTCCCAGTCCTGAATCCTTGGACATCCTGCCCAATGCGGTATCCTCGTTCCGGTACCTTTGTGTTAATCTGACATATACTCTATCTACAATTTCGGCTCATATTGAAATCCTCTTCATTAAAATTCGTAAACTCCTATAATAAATCCGTCGGTTGCATTTTTATCATACGCCTCAAGCCCTAATCCGGCGATTTATAGATGCCTACATTCTGCCTCTCCTTCTCTACTTCTTTTTGGTTATTTTTCCAGCATTGTCCAGAAAATACTTACTGATTTTTAAACGCATCCTCCGAATGCTCTCTTTAGCTGGCGGTGTTTTTTGAAATTTTAGGTGATGCTACAATACAGCGATACTTTAAAACGCTCAGGCAATTTGTTGATCGCATTATTGATGGAGGTAGTCATCCCCTCTAACCTGAATTAATGAATGCGAGGTCTTCCCTAACCATTCGAAATATGTCCTGCCGGTAAATCAGAAGTTTTTATTCCCATTCATAGCACGCTATGTCACATGTAAAGAAACGGAAATTTAGAAGCTAAAAGTAAACCTGTCTCCATAATATGCGTGGCTTTTATGTAAACCTCTAGATTTTTGAATATTTCATTCAGTTATCCTGTGGTTTCTGTGAATGGAGTCATATATTGCCGAACATTGTGGTTGCGACCTTCAAAATAAAGCGTATTTGTTTTTGCTCTCTCTCTAGAGTGCCCAATCTCTTGGGAAGGCATGGAAGCAAAACAAGAGTACTCTCGTGGAAAACAAAATTTGAAAGATGTTTGACACAGCGGAGAAAATTTTTAATATCCACGTGCACGCCGGGGCTTTGCAGAACGTTACTGAGAGAAACATGGACTCTAAAAAATTAAAATATTGTTGTTTCGGCAAAAGAAGCTTATATTTTCCCCCTCATTTACC